CCACCATGTGGTTGCTGGGAATTGAACTCAGGACCTCTGGAAGAGCAAACAGTGCTCTTAACCTCTGAGCCATCTCTGGAGCCCCAGAGATCCTTTCTCAAACAAAAAATAAATAAATAAACAAGAAGAAAGAAGGAAGGAAGGAAGGAAGGAAGGAAGAAAAGGCTTTATGTCAAAGAAATGAAGCACTTCTGAAATGCACAAAAGGATGCGACAGCTAGTAAGTGCAGAAAAGCAGAAGGCTGGTGCACTGGAAAGAAGAATACCAAGATGAACACATTCCAACCTGGGTCCCCAGAGTCAGGAGGAAAGCAAGCCTCATCTGAAGGGTAAGCCAAGCAGCCCAGTGACGAGAGGAAGGCTCACCCACAGGACAAGCCCACAGGTCCCTATGCCACAGTCCAGTTTCAGGCCTTGATTAGATAGACATTTCCACTAGGGTGGGTCACCAATGGAGAAGAATCTCCTAGCTCAGAAGATTGTGGCAGGGCCCCTTCTTGAGAGGGAATCTTTGTTAATTTGAGCTATATGAGGGCCTGAGAACAGAATAGTCACAAAGTTAGAGTAATTTAACCTGCTACATCCACCTGATGAGATACAGCCTTTGGAAACAGTTGTGGAGAGTGGGAGGGTCAAGCAGATATGTTGTGTGTGCGGGATAGTAATGTTCCAGGAATTAGCAAATCCCACTCCATAATAATTTTAAATGCAGATGACTTCAATTCTCTAATAAAAAGACATAGCCTAGATGATTGGAATAAAAAAACATGATCCAACTGTCGGTTGTCTCCTAGAAACATGCTTCACTGGCAAAGACACCTATAGGATGAGAGTCTAAGGACAAAAATCAGTACATTTACAAGCAAACTGAAGCTAAAACATAGCTGGCATAGCATTTTAATATTTTATAAAGTAGATTTCAAGGTAAAATTAGTCAGAAGAGGCAAAGAAAATGATTGCTTACTATGGAAGGGGATAATTTATCAAGAAGATATAACAATTATTAGCATATGTTCCAAATATTAAGTCTCTCTCTCCCCCTTTCTCTTCCTCTCTCTCTCTCTCACACACACACAAACAAATAATGGGCATAAAAGGTGAGTTAGGCCCTGCTACAATAATAGTAAGTGACTTTGATATTCTTCTCCCATCTGTAGAGATGTCATTCAAACTGTAGAGTTAAACTATATCACAGACATATACTAAATATCTCATTTAGCAGATACAGAGTATACATTTTTCTCAATATCCTATGGTACATTCTCTAAAACAGATCACACCCTAGGTCATATAAGAAGTTTTTAAAAATACAAAAGAATTGAAGTACTTTCTTGTATTTTATCAGACCATAGTGGAGTAAGATTGGAAATCAGTAGTAAGAGAAACTGCACAAATACCGTTGAATGGCCAGTGAGTGAGTCATGGAATAAATCAGAGAAAAAAGTTTAAAACCCTAGAATTAGATGAAAATGAAATCACAGCTCATTAGAACACTTGAAATAAAGCTAAATTAGTTCTAAGAGGAAAGTTTGTGGCTGTGGCGGCTTGTGTTAAAAAATCAGACAGAACTCAAATAAATAACCTAATGGTATTACCCCAAAGGATCAGAAAAATAATAAGTCAATCTAAAAAGTAGTAGATGGAGACAGATTAATAAAGATTGAGACAGAAGTTAATGAAATGAAGACTAAAAGAACAACATGTAGAATCAATTGAAAGGTTAATTCTTGGAAAACATGAGTAATATTGACAAACTTGTAGCCAAGGTAGTTAAAAGAAATTGAAAGAGGACCCAAATTAATAAAAGTAGAGATCAAAAGAAGGATTTCACAGCTGGGCATTGGTGGCGCACACCTTTAATCCCAGCACCCAGGCGGCAGAGGCAGGCAGATCTCTGAGTTCGAGACCAGCCTGGTCTAAAGAGTGAGTTCCAGGACAGGCTCCAAAACAATACAGAGAAATCCTGCCTTGAAAAAGAGAGAGAGAGAGAGAGAGAGAGAGAGAGAGAGAGAGAGAGAGAGAGAGAGAAGGGTTTCACAAAATATTCTAATGTTGTTTACAATAAATAGTTCAGCATATACAGCCTGTCTATTAACAGACGAACAGATAAACTGCAGTGTGAACAATGTATTTTAAGCTACAATAAAGAATGAAATGTTAAGATTCAGAAAAATGAATGAAATAGTATTACAATATTACAAGAGTAAAGCCAGACATAGAGGAAAAGGTCATAGTTTCCTCTCAAACACAGAATCTATATTTAAATATTGGTGAGTGGGGGAGGACATGAAGGTTTCTAAAGACAGACACAACAAAGAAGAACAATGGAATATGTATGTATGTATGTATATAGTGTTTGGGGGAGGAAGGGGCCGAGCATGGGGAAGCATGAAGGAAGGGTTGAATAAGAGCAGACTGTAATGAAATATATGTATGAAAATATTGTACTGAAACACACCTTGTGTACTAATAAAAATATAATACTAAAAACAAATCCAAACATAAATAAGGAAATGATTCCAAATGAAGCACGTGAACAAAAGTGAACACAGATGATGACAGATCTCTGGGACAGTCTCAAAGTATACATATGTCATTCCAGTTCATGAGGAGAAGGGAAAGTTACTTAAGGAAAGAAGGGTCCAAGTTATTCGAACTGGATTAGAAATACATGCTACAGACTGAAGAAGTTCAACACTCCCTAGCACAAAATATTTGAAGACAACTTTGTTAAAGCATAAAACTTAATATACATATTATATATGATAAAGGGGAGATCTCAAAAGCAGCCATATATGAGCAGCAGCAGTAGTGGGAGAATAAAATCTGAATGTGGGCTGGAGTGATGGCTCAGCAGTTAAGAGTCCTCGCTGCTTTTCCAGAGGACCCAGGTTCAATTCCCAGAACCTACTTCAGGGGGCTCACAACTGTCTATAACTCCAGCTCTAGGAAATTCAATGCCTCTGGCTTCTGTGTACCTGTACCTGCACTCGTGTACACTTACCCACATGAAAACACACACACACACACACACACACACACACTTCATTAAAAAGAATAGAAATGAATCTTTAATTAGAAAATATGAATGTAGGATATACTTATAAGCTGAGGCTCAAACAAGGGAGAGATCTGCTTGCTTTTATCTAGGATTTATTACAATGAAGGTGTGTGTTGCCTAAGGAGACAGATAAAAAGAAAAGGGGAAAGAGAATGAAGGAAGGAGGGAGAGAGGGAGGAAGGAAGGGAGGGAGGGAAGAAGGAAGGAAGGAAAGAAATTTGCTTTAAGAAGGATTAAGGGGTTAGGTACCCTTGACCTGCTCTGGGGAATTGCGTTACTCATTCTGGATATATGAAATTTAGAACCTGTTAATACACTATTAGAAAAGCTCCTTTGTTTGCCCAGAGGTCCTCACTAAATCCTGTAGGTAGCAAGATAAGGACTATTGTACTTAGTTTTGCCCCATAGACCAGAAATCAGTTTCCCCAACTCTTTAGTTCCCTATGAATGGAGCTGGGGAGATAGGGCTCCCCTAACCTCTAAGGATGATGCAAAGCCGCCTCCATCCTGAGGGCTTCTCTTTGCAGGGTCACCCACAGTCCTTAGTGAAGTTTGGAAGGGACGATGCTACCACATCCTCTGTACAGGATGTTCCAAAAACAACTGACAACCACACTGTCAGCAAGAGGCACTAGAAATTCATTCAGGACTATTATTAAATGGGGGATTTATTTTTATTTTTGTGTCTGTCTTAATACATGTAAGTTCATACAAGGGTACCCAAAGACAATAAGGAGACATTGAATCTCCTGAAGCTGTGAGAGGCTGACAGTAGGTTCTGGGAACCCAACTAGGGTCCTCTGCTGGAACAGGAATTGCTCTTAATCACTGAGCCATCTCTCCAGCCCTTAGAACTGATCTTCATAAGCAAAAGAGTCATCAGGCAAGGTTTGTTCTTTGGGAAGACTTTCCTTTCTTTGAAAAATAATTCACATGGCACATGATCCTATAGATTAATGGCAAAAGCAAACAAAAATGCAAACTATCCCAAACTCTGCCACCTAAACATAACTATTGTTGGCATCTCCTCTATCATACTGGTGCATTCTTATGCAAATATGTAAGTGTATGATTGTGAACACAGTGCTGTACTATAGACATCCTGCTGCAACCTGCTTCCCATTGCCTCTGCTATTTGTCAGTCTACTGTGAAGGATCCAGTCATTATACATCTACATCAGCATTCTGAGGCAGTATAATACCGCACCATCCTCTAATTGTCAGGAATATGAACAGTGATTGTTGCTCACTGGTGTACTAATGTCTTAAGTGAGCAAACAAGAATGGGTGAACAAGAACTTAGTGAGCTCACGTTTGCAGGCTTTCTGCTGACCTGAGCTGGGCTGTCTCACACGAGGCAGCGAGCTGCCAGCTGCCTGAGTAATCCTCACTTTGCCTGTGCTTACTCACAGGCCCTGGGCTGGCTGCTTGTTGACTCCAGGGAAAAGGTTACAGCTGAGACAACTGGAACGAGATGACTGTTCTAGTGACCTCTCCCGGGAACTAGCTGGGGCCCATGCTCGTGACCATTCAGAGGAGCCAGAGCCAGCAGCCATGTGCAAGCATTTTTGCCAGCATTTGCCAGGTGCCAAGTGTAGTGTAGACTTGTGGGTACAGACAAGGGCTGAGAGCTGAGGAATGTTTTCCCCCCAGTAAACTCCTGTATAAATGCTTTCCGTTGTTATTCGGTTATTCTGTGATACAAATTTCTAAATGTGAAATTACTGGGTCAAAGGGATATCCTTTTTTGAGGACCCTGAAGATAAACTGTCAAACTGCCATGGAAAAAGATAAATCAATGAACATTCTAATTCAAGTTGAAAAGCCGTTTTCTGTTGGGGAAGTCTTATGCTAATAAAGCACTGTCTGGCCAATAGGAATCTAGATAGGTGGGGCTAGGAATCCAGGAGGATTCTGGGTAGGAGAAACACAGGAGAGTCAACATGTGACGCCATGGGGGTAGGACGCTGGGAACTATTCTCCGGTAAGAAACATACTTAGATTAACAATTATGGGGTAATTACTTAAGGCAGAGCTAGCCAGTAAGAGACAAACAAGGCCAACAGCTTCATAATTAATATAGCCTCCTGTGTGTTTATTTGGGACTCATGCGGATCTAGAACCAGGTGGGCGGAACGGCTCCTCACAAAGAAAAAGCTTCTCTTAACATAATGGTGATCAGGAGTGGGATCATGAATTTCCACGTAGAATGACAAAAGCTTTAAAGGAATTTTAGAAACAGAAGAACGGAGAGAAGCACAGATTTTGGTAGCAGCATTTTCTCAGGTTTGCTCTGTTTTGCTAGCCACAAGCCGAGATTCACGTGGCTCGTTTACCGGAGTCTTCCTGACTCAGCATAAAAAGAAAAAAAAAAAAAACCAGCAAGGTTATTTTAAGAGACTCTGCTAACGATTGAAAGGGGTGTTCGTACAGCTGGAAGTGGCAGCTTTTGCTGGAGGTCAGCATGGACTGAGGCGGTAAGCTGCAATCACGCTTACGCCCGCCATCTTGAAACGGCAGTTTAAAACAGTCGCGGTTTTACAGATAAGACACGTGGCCAGAAAAACATAAAGATTTACAGTAAAGTCAGACTTGGATAAAGAAAAACCTCTAAAGGTTTACAGTGTGTTTAAAAAATATACGTGAGATTGAGAGAGAAAATCAAACGGCAAAGTGGTAAATAAATACAAAAGCCGGCGTTGTGGTGGCGCACGCCGGTAGGATTGCTCCAGAGGCAGAGGCAGGCAGGTTTCCAAAGAGAAACCCTGTCTCAGAGAAAAATAAATAAAAGTGAAAGAAATAAAGTATTAATAGATAAATAAATAAGCCACGTAAAGATGGAAAATACACAGAGAGTCTGGATACTGTATGCTATTATGTTTTTCAGTTTTTTGATTGCTAAGGAAGGAACAAATGCTAAAGTACACTTGATTATAAATGCTGCTGAATTAATCCAACTTCTATCTTTTGAAAATGCCTTGACTTCAAAATTTAAGTACAAGGATATGTTACTCGGAAAAGGAGTTTTAATTTATGTTTCCACAGAACATAAAAAGCTGAGGATTTCTTCCAGACTTCTGTGGTTTGACGAACCAAGACCCCCGGAAGTAGTGGACCAGGTGTTCCAACTATTGAGACAGCTAAGATGATGCAGCTTTACAGACCCCGAAAATACGGACTTATACAGGTTTCTGAGTTTTGTCATGATCCCCATGGTATGAACAGCGCCCCCTTCCAGCAGGAAGCAGTTTGGAATGAGCGACGTCCTAATTCCCATCTTGTTTATAAATCTTTGTTTTCATTTAAATGGGATTGTTTATAATTGGCTAGTGATCACAGCCAATCCTTTTAATGGTAAAAAAGGGAATTATGATATAGGAATTGTTTTTCATTTATTGATACAAATTCAAGGTCAATTTTGTGATATGTATATTTCTCCTCTTGATTAAGTATTGTGCTTATACTGATCTTTTAAAATGTAATGCGTAATTAAATACAGATTATAGATAGTTACTTATAATAGTCAGAATTTATAGTTAGGTAAGTTAGGTTTTCTATATATACAGAAAAATATTTGAGATAGATAAACAGTCTTCAAACCTCTCAAAGACCTTCAGAAAATGGCATTTAAAATGGTTTAGGGCTTTTCTTGACAATGAGAAATGTCTGCTCCTGGCAGCACCAATTACATCTGAGAGGAAGATGGGCATCGAAGAAACTTGTTATGGAGTTTGCTTTCAACATGGCAAGATTAGCCATTTGGGCAAGAAACTGCTCTTGCCTGTACTGCTTGACTCTTGTTGTATAATCTGGACATGCAGGACCCACAGGAAAGTGACTGCTGAACTCAGTCTTACAGGGTTGCTGCTTCATGGAAGAGTCTAGGAGACGTTCTGCAGGACACAGAGAAATGACTGACAGACTGCCAGCGCAGATGGACAGTTTGAAATTTCCTGCTTTGCTGAGAAGTGTTCCAGACACATTGTGGCCTATGGGCTGAAGATGGATACCCCAACGTTACAGAGGAACTTCGGGTGACTGTCCAGGCAGTAAGATGTCTCTGTCAATCCTAGTGTTTATATATTATCCTTCTGTGGTCTTTGATGGAGTTGAAGACAGATAGTTATAGTTTTCCTTAGTTATGATAAAAGATAAGTTACATATAGAACTTTGAACTCACAAGGATGGTATGGATGATATTTTCTTTAAATCTTGCTAAAATATTGTAACTATGTTCTTATTTGATAACTGTTCTGTTATATACAATTTGACTGTGTTAAAGTTAAGACCTTTCTTTTTGTTTAAACAGAAAAGAGGAGATGTTGGGGAAGTCTTATGCTAATAAAGCACTGTCTGGCCAATAGGAATCTAGATAGGTGGGGCTAGGAATCCAGGAGGATTCTGGGTAGGAGAAACACAGGAGAGTCAACATGTGACACCATGGGGGTAGGACGCTGGGAACTATTCTCCGGTAAGAAACATACTTAGATTAACAATTATGGGGTAATTACTTAAGGCAGAGCTAGCCAGTAAGAGACAAACAAGGCCAACAGCTTCATAATTAATATAGCCTCCTGTGTGTTTATTTGGGACTCATGCGGATCTAGAACCAGGTGGGCGGAACGGCTCCTCACAAAGACAAAGCTTCTCTTAACAGTTTTCCTTTATTTATGATGTATCATAACATATGGACTTAGAGTTGCACTTAAGTTGGAGGGTGTACACCGAAGATTCACAGATAAGTGTTGGGGAAGTCCTGTTATTTGCCTGTGCATTTGTCAATAAAGTACTGTCTGGCCAATAGAAAACCTAGATAGGAGGGACTAGGAGTCGAGGAGGATTCTGGGAAGGGGAAACAAGAGAGTCAACATGTGACGCCATGGGGGTAGGAAGCCTGGAACTATTCTCCGGTAAGAGACATACTTAGATTAACAATTATGGGGTAATTACTTAAGGCAGAGCTAGCCAGTAAGAGACAAACAAGGCCAACAGCTTCATAATTAATATAGCCTCCTGTGTGTTTATTTGGGACTCATGCGGATCTAGAACCAGGCTGGCGCGGCAGAGCCCAGGCGACTGGCGGGGGATAAACCAAAGCGGCTAGCAAAAGAAAAAGATTCTCGTAACAGATAAGAAGAGGAAAACCAGGGTATCTTGTAGGGGCAGGGCCTGGAGAGATGCCCAGCAGTTAAAAGCCATCCTGCTTTCACAGAGGACACAAGTTCGGATGCCCCCAGCATCCACATCAGATGGTTTACATCTGCCTAGACCTCCAGCTCCAGGAGAAATCCAGTGCTGCTGCCCAACTTGCCCAGACACATGCACATGTAATTCATTGGTTCACCAAGATGGATGCTAACGGTATCTGTACTTGGTTTGCTGTGGATTCCCTGTCTGGGGTAAGCAGATGTATGTGCTGCATCTCACTAAGAAAAGTTTTGTCACACAGCATGTGTGAATGTGAATTCATTATACTCCATCTTCAGATACATTTGAACTTTTCTATTTTGAAAGTTATATTGAAATTTATTTTAATGTTATCAAGGATTTATGCACAAAATTACTTTAACATTAAATAGCAGTAACCAACTACAGAGTATGTCATCACTGATGTAATGGTTCTTCTTCTGGGATGTTGGAGAGAATTCCTATAGTCATTTGTTATTCTAATGAGACTGTAAAGAGACAGAGCCAAAGAAATGGGTTCAATTGGGAAGGGGGTGTGAACACACAGAAAAAGTCTCTAACACTGTGGGGTGCCAAGGAGATGGGTGGAATCCAGAGTCAAGGTGTCAACATCTAAAGCAGGAGGAAATTCCCATTTGATAGCCTCTAAATCCCCAGAGAATTAAGAGTGAGGCCCAATGTGAGAAACTAGGGGATGGGCAATTCGGAAACTATTGTTTCAAGAAGTTTGACAGTTGAAAGGTGAGGGGATGGAATTTACCAGAGGAACTCTGTGAACTGCAAAAGCTAGAGTGCTCCTGAAGGGAAGTGTCAGCGCCCTGGAGCCGGACACACGGAGAACCATGGAAGGCAAATGCATCAGGCTGAGAGGAAGAGGAGGCTTTGTGAGAAGTTGGCTGAAGAATGGTATTTTTTTACAGCCAGCTGTTGGGAGGGACCTGACAGCAGGTGTCTGCATGTTTAACTCTAGAGATTGGAATCCAGTAGTGGGGATGGTTGGACTCACTGTGACAACGCTGTCCTGGTGATCGATGGGAAGTGAGAGGAGGTTGCCCCCTTTTGTGTCTTGTGGGCAAGCATGCAGACTGACAGCTGAGCAGGGAGCTGTGGATCTTTCAGGAGGTCATGGACCTTTCTTGTCTTGACTATCCCAGCTCTGGGGTCTAGTATGTCCAATATGGTCCTCTTCCTGGAAACCTGGGTGGGGCACAGACACTTCACATCCAAGGACTATAACCAGAGGGGAGCAGATTGTGGTTGATTTTTGAATTTATGATTCTAGAAATAAAAATTTAGTTTTCAGAAGTCAGCCAACCAGCTAGTCAGCACTGCTAAGGTGGCACACTTGGGCTGACTGTTTTCATTCTCACTTAGACTTCCTTCCTACTGCGTGTGAGGTAGCACGCTCCGGCAAAGCCTGGGTAATGCCTACTGATAAAGCAATTGCCTTCGTTTCCCAACAGGACTTACTGAAGTGAGTTTATTTGCAGAAAGAGCAGGGACAGTGGTTTTTGTAGCTTAGGCCTGGAAAAATACTGCTCCCACCCCTTTGCCCAGTCCTAGTCTACTCATGATTTTAAACTGCTGCTAAATCTGAAGGACTCTGAGTCTGGGATGTGCTAGAATGATCTGTGATAGCTCAGCTTGTTTGTCCGTTTATCTACCATCTAGACAGAGCTTACCTCATATTCTTCCTCTCTTGCAATTTCAGCTATCAACTGTGAGTTGCCTGGATGTCAGAGAATAGAGCATGCTGTGGGTCGGCAGATGCAAGGTGGATGGAGAGAACAGTTGTCT